CGAAGTCAGCCGCGCTCAACCGACTGAGCCACCCAGGCGCCCCAACCCATTTCTTCTTTCTAGTCAGTTGCTTTTCATGACTGGGGGGGTCAAACACTGACCTTGACCCTTTTCACTCCCCTTCCTGAATTTTCTCCTCAGCATGTATAGCCTTCTGGTGTAGTATGCACTTTGCTTATTCATCCTGCTTATTATGTCTCTTCCACTAGAGGGATTTTTTTTTTTTTTCTATTCTGCTCCTGTTGTATGCCCATGTCTGGGGCATAGTAGGTGCTCAACGAATAGTAATTGAATGGATAAATGAACCTGCTGCATAAGGCTCTAAGTGCTGTTCATCATCTCATGCCTGCGCTGTCTTCATTCTGAGCCTCCGACCTGCTTCTTCAACCTTTTCCTGTGAGCCTGTGGTCAGTCCAAATTTTTAATCGTCTTTGATGTGTGTGTTAGAGCAGGCTGGGTGATGCTCTGGTAACAAGCAGCCCTCAGCACTCAGTACGTGAAAATAACAAAGGTCCGTTTCTGACCATGAAACGTGTCCTCATGAGTCAGGTGGGGCTCGACTTCACAGGGACCTTCCTCGGGGATCTGGAGCTTTGCAGTTCCCCTTGGCAGAGGGAAAGAGCCTGGCAAATCCCCTCCTGGCTCACAAAGCCTCTGCCGGTGAGGGGCGGCATGTTATTTACACTCACATTTCATTGCCCAAAGCCAGTCCCGTCCTTCACCGCACAGGAGAGCGGAAACGCAATCCCAACCGTGTGGCCAGGTGAACTGAAAATTTTTGGTGGACGGCACCAGAGTACCTTTTCAGGCTTTTGTCACTGGATTTTTTTTTTTTTTTTTTTTTTTTTTTTTTTTTAGCTTTATAGTACAAATCACAACCAGAACCAATCAGGAACTGAGTAACACCAGCAGTTATTCACCACTATATCTCCGGCATCTAGCGGATTGCTTGACATCTAGTAGGTACTTAAAAAATAGTTGTAGGGGTGCTTGGGTGGTGCGATCAGTTAAGCGTCCTACTTTGGCTCAGGTCATGATTTCGCGGTTGGTGAGTTCCAGCCCAGTGTCGGGCTCTGTGCTGACAGCTCAGAGCCTGGAGCCTGCTTCGGATTCTGTGTCTCTCTCTCTGCCCCTCCCCTCCTTGCTCTCTCTTCTCTCTCTCAAAAATAAATAAACGTTAAAAAATATTTTTAAAAATAGTTGTAAAATGAATGAGCGGAAAAAAAGAAATTGCTGATATCAAAATTTCAGAGTGGGAAAATTTACCTTTGGGCTCCCTCTCGTCATAGACATTCGCAAGTTCATCCAACAAATGCTCAACAAGCCCTTCCTATGTTCAAGTCACCGTTCCAAGAAACCGAGGATAAATCAGTGAACAAAATACGCGAAGTTTCCTGCCCTCATGGAGCTCACATTCTAGAGGATGCAGACAGCCAATAAACATGATAATTAATTACACTGGATCTTATATCCTGTGGTGGTGAGCACTGTAGAGAAAAGAAAGCAGAGAAAGGGTTGGGAGTGCTGGGGGGGGGGG